CACCACAAACGCGTGCACGAGCTGCACGGCTTCCCTGTCTTTAAGTACGTGTTGCCTGTTGCGAATTCTCCGCAACATGCCTTTGATCTGTACCGTTGCTTTCATGAGCTTGTCGAGTGTGCTCTTGTTGCTCCTTCCCCGTGGGATAAGTTGCCCCAAGATTCGCACCCTCTGCAGCTTGGGCATCTCTTTGCTGTCCATTTTGATACTGATGTGAGATAGGAGTAATTCCAGTAGATTCCGCATGACCAGCAACTCCGACTTCTCCGGGGAGCACTGAAGTCCTCGGCTCCGCGCGTACTCTGCTGTAATATCGGCCGCTGCCTGCAGCCTGCCCTCCACTTGACCATCGCTCCCGGACTTGCACCAGATCGTAATATCATGTGCAAATATCGCGTGCTCCACCCTTGGGATCCTCTACAGCTTCTGCAGATTTCTCATTGCTAAGCTGCAAAGTAGGGATGAGAGCACCGCCCCTTGTGGCGTGCCTCGTGGTCCCAGTGTTAGAAGGTCCGATCTATAGTCCCCCAATGAGAGAACCACTTGAAAATTCGAAGGAAAACTTTGTATTTATTTGTATGTTCTTTCCCCTGCAGTTAACTTGACTGAGTACTTTTAGTATACTTCCATGCGCTACATTATCGAATGCCCCTTTTAGATTAAGCGCTAAAATGGACCTTGTTTGCGCTCACGCCGGGCTCTCGAGTAAGTACTTATACAGCCACAACAACACATCTTGCGTCGACATGTGTGGGCGGAATCAAAACTGTGTATGAGCCAGTAACAAATTGTCCTCAATATGCTCGGTTAGTCTCGCATTGATTATTCGTTCAAACGCCTTTCCCAGACATAATGTCAGAGAAATTGGGATGAGGTTTCCCAGACTTAAGTCTTTTTGGGGTTTAGCAATAAATTGTACCTCAGCTTTCTTCCAGCTCTCCGGGGTGGTACCTTTCCTCCAATATTCCTCACTAAAGTGGCGCACCAGCTCCCGCATCGATCCTTCATACAGATTTGTCGCCGCCAGCGCCGCATCGGTTACCCCAGCGTTATTGGCCTATCGCGCACCTTGTTCGGTTTCCCCTGATAGTCTGGTTGGTCAACCAGGGGTTCCCGGCACAGGTATTTCCAGGCCAGTATTCCGTCGTCTTCAACCCCCTTCTTATGCATGATTGAAGTGATCTCGTTCTGTGCTACCGTTTTTGTACCCTCCGGATCCACCAGGGCCCGAAAAAGTTTCCAGGTTCGTGTGGTATCCAAGCTGCATTGCAACCCGTCACACAGAGAGTACCAGTTTTGCCTTGGAAGTCTTAATGCATACTCCTCAGCCTTCTTATTCAGTTCCGCAATCTTCTTTCGGAGCTTTCTGTTGTCTCTTTGTCTTTTCCACCTCTTTGTTATAGACCTCCGCACCTCCCACAGATGCAGCAGATGTGAGTCCACTTCCGAGTTTCCCTCAGTCGTGTCCACCACCGCTGTACACCGCTCGAGGCTTCGGACCAACTCCTCTGTCCATTCCTCGATATTGTCAATGGTCGCAACGCTTCGCCCTCTTTGCTCGCGCCACTTTTCGCGCTGTATAGAATTCTTGCTTTACCAATCTCCTTCCTGCCGAAGTCCCCGATCGCCGAGCTCGTATACAGAATCTAATTGTCTCTTCCGAGCTTTTCCCCGGTATTCACCCATCTTGAATTTCGGATGCCTCTCACCACCGTCAAGTCGGGGCACGTGCTCGTCCCGATACGTGATGGCATCTTAGGGTCCGTAAGCAGGGAGAGTCGCTCCTGGTTAAGCATCTCCGCTATTCTTCTGCCTTTGACGGTAAGGTAGCGGTACTCCCACGCCGAATACGCTGCGTTGAAGTCACCTGCTATGATGAGCTGCTCCCTCCCTGCTTTCTGAGTGAAACTCGTGAGTGATTGCTTGAGGTCCGATCACAGCACATTGAGTCTGTCTTTTGTCCTCCCCAAGGAGATTAAGGTCACATACACATGCGGAATGTCGGCCATCAACGGTTCTTGTACCTCCACCGGATATTTATTAAGCACTAACACTACCACATACTGGTCTGCGTAGTGAGACTCGTAGCCCTTGATTCTGACGTTCGTACACTTTCCAAGTTCTTGGAGCGTGATAACCGCAGGGAGGTCAGCCGCTTGCGCCTCCAACAGGCTGTAACCAGCCTTTTTCCGCCCGATCTCCCTGCAGTTCCACTGCCACACACTCAATTTTGGTTGGATCCGCATGTTGAGTTTGTGTCCGAGAAGCCCGTTTCAGATGAAGTTGGTGTACTCCCTCTTGGCAGTCTTTGCTTAAGTTCCTGGTTGTTTCGCATCTAAAGTCTCTCGAGCCTTTTGTTAGACTTGCTCTCCAGGGTCTGCATTCGCGTCAAGAACATCTGCATCTGCTGTTGTGTCTGCTGCGTTTGCTCCTCCAGCTGTGCAACTTCCATACGCACCTCCTGGATTAGTTTGAAGTATACGTCTCTCAATGGGGTTTGCGGCGGTGGGATCGCCAGCTGCTTGGGAGTATCCGCTTCCTTGCGAAGTCGAGCGTTCCCCCACCCCCCCTCTTCAGCGCTTGAAATTACTTTTCTAGCTTCTGCTTCGCTTGCGACTTCGGTAAGGGAGGCCATTTGATTTTGTTGGCAAGATCCCTTCCCCCCGTTGAAGCTTGCGTCCTTCCATTCTTCAAATTTGCCGCGCCTCTCCCCTGGCGATAGTACAGCGATCTGCTTCTCCTTCTGTTTGACATCACTTGTTTACGCGTCTGACTCCGTGACTTTGATGTGCTCTCCATCGACAGAGCCGATAACGTAGAGCTCCACGCCACCTGTCGCTGTCGTCATCTCTGGCTCCAGCTCCTACTTTCCCGCCTTTTTGCCATGATCTTAGGAAAATCGGGTCGGAAGAACTTCTGCTTGTATTTTTTGGCGTACGCACGATGTGGGCCTCCGCATAACGCTCAGAATGGTACAAATTCGTGTCCTTCTTGTACTCCTGCCATACCGCAAATATTGCAGGCGCATCCCCGCGGCTTGGGACAAACATCCACCCGGTGTCCGGTTTCCCCGCAGTCAAAGCAGACTGCCCTCGTCTTCTTGTAGTTGTAGCACCATTTTTCTGCCCTATCGAACGTGATCGTGAATGGTATTTGGTTCCCCAGGAACGTGTCTTGTGCCGATTGCGATTTCCGAAGTCTCCGGGCCTCCAAGACTTCGGTGTTGCCTGCATGTGTAAGGCGCTGTATCATCTCGTTATCTAGCCTTTGTCGGGTCCCATGGATTATTCCTCGACACGTTTCCGCCGGACGGGTGAGATATGCCTCGACTTCCAACTGCAAACCGGGTAGCTGATCCTCCCGAGTCGCGCCGCGTCCTCATTAGGGCTGATAATAGCAATATTCTGTGCGTCAAGTAGTCAAATCTTGTAATCCTGCTGTAGCTCCGTCGCTACCGGCCTTAACATCGCTTCGCCATTCTGGCTTTCGAGGCCACGGAACTCAAATGTACGCTGTTGCGAAAGGCCTCAGGAGACGACCTTGCAGTTCCATACCGACCGGCTGGGTGAACGCCCTGGTCCTTCGCGAGTCCGGCCTCTACATGAGTTCGGACCTGCCCTGACTCGGCTCCCTGCCGTACCCAAAGCCCCGAGACAACCGCTCGGTCCTAACAACGCCTAGGCTTGACGACCTCCTTCGAGCGATAATGGCGTATGCTCAGAAGCTTAGGGGATTGGGGAATGTCGGTCTTAGCATCCCTAACTTGTACGGGTGGTTTTGGAGGCCCCCATCCTGCTCTCGGGGCTCCCCATCTCGGAACTAGAGTTTCGTCATTCAGCTTGGGTAATACGGGTCGGCTCTGTCAGCGCGTAGCCTTGTTCCCTCCTCGGGGCGGCTCTGCAGTCGAGCAGGGTATATAAAGCTATACTCAATCGCCGCCGGGTCGTACCATCGTATCGAATTTCTGCGGCTCTGGTCGTCCTGCCTTGCCGAAAGTGTGTCTTGCGAAGCCACCGGTGCCGCGGGTGTGCGCATCATCGTCAGGCCGAGCAGGGCGGCTGCCACCGGGATGGAACCGACTCGCGGCGCGCCGGGCTTCTGCTAGGCTTAACGCGGCTGCCACGAAAAATGTCCTTAAGTCCAGCGACATTGCGCTCACCAACATGAAACCGGTACCTAAATCACTTAAGTGGAGGCCATGCTGTCGGTGACCACTGGCAGTGGAGACATAGGGCCACCTGAGCCGGTGGAAAACACTGTGCCTAACGGAGCCGATAGAAATTGCGTCCGCCCGAGATGTTTTCACCAGCTACCATTGTTGGCGCGTCTCACGTCCCGTTCCCGGAAGAGACGGGACGTCAGACGCGTCAATAGTTGACTCATCCACACTTCTTTCCGTACGCCGAGGTGAGCCTTGGCTCGCGAGACGAGAACAAATCCGGCACGAGAAACGCTTCATGCGATTCGGCCTTTACTGCCGCAGAAAAGAAGTGGCTTGTAAAAGAGCGAGTGAGATCTCTTTCACGCTCAAATAGGATAGCGGTGTCTTGACAGGACACCTTCAGTAACCTAGTTTTGTGAATTGTATCGATAATGGAAGAACCACATTTAGAAAATTGAGTGCCGCCGATGACTGCTCTCTAAGAAATGCCTGCGCGTCTACTTACTCGCAAAACACTCGAAGAGCCAATGTCTGCGATCTACGAAATCAGCTCCGCAAATGGTGAGGTGGAACATCTGTAACATCGACCTCAAAATTAAGTCCGCGCTGTCGCATTACGCAATGCAAGCATGACACTTTGCATTGCGCGATGCCACAGCGCAGACCTAATTTTGAGGTCTAAACGGATGTTCCGCCTCATCATTCGCTGAGCTGATTTCCTAGACCGCAGAGATTGACTCTATGAGCGTTATGCGGGTAAGTAGACGCGCAGGTATTTCTTAGAGTGTGGAGATAGAAGCACTGTTATTGAGGAAAAAACAGACTAAACTGGCCTTACAGCATTCCAATATAGGTGGTCGGGTTCAGGTCGTGCACGTAAGGAACCTCTTGCAGCCCAGAGTGGGTAATCCGCCTGCAAGATACACACACACACGCACACACACACACACGGTTCGGTACCCCTCTTTGCGCACGTAGCATTAATCGCGTAAATCAGAGTTGGACAGGAGTTCTCAAAGAGTCTCCGAAATGAGCATTTAATATTTAAGAACTGCATACGATATGGAATGGCACAAGTTCTCTAGGAACGGCGAGTCGGGGCATTAATTTCTGACACGCCACTGAAAGTTTCCCGCAGAAAGGTGTGACGCCGTTTATTTTGTTTGTGCAAGAGGCGAAGTTTAACTCGAGCAAACAGTCGGAAACTGAAACGGACAATCTTTCTACAGTGTATGCTTTTAAGGCACTTTGACGGCCCTCAAAAATCGGTTTCCCAACGTATCGCGCTGCGATTTACTGCAGGGGTGCACGCAGGTGCTGGAAGTTTTGAGCGTACAATGCACGCGTAGTGAGAAGTGCTGCCGACAGATGGCGTACGCCGCGTCGAGGGAGTGTAGAGAGCATATATTGAAGAGAGCGCCCATCCCAAACCGGTGGGGAGCGTTTGCAATGTAATGGCGGACACTTCCCGCGGCGATCGGTCGAAAGTGCGCATATGCTGCGTTTTCGCGTGGTGAGGAGGGAAGCAGGAGGAAAAGCGGAGGCGTTCGCAGACGGTAGACGCTTTCGTCACCTCCTCTCAGCTCGTATTGGAAGTGCGGCCCATATAATTACGTGACCACATCTAGCAGTTGGAGACCCTCTGTAATGAGGGCTCTCTAAGGGAGCGTAGAGAGCCTGTATTACAGAGATGAAGCGAAAAATAGGGACTCTAACCAAAAATTTAATAAACATTTACAGAGATGACAGAACCCCCATCACCTGCTTGCACCTCTGCAGTAAATATGCAGCGCGATACGTTCAGAAACCGATTTTTGCTGCCATCTAAAGCACCTTCACAGCGTTAGTTTCCGTGCTGTAGTTCTAGGACCACCATAAGAAACGCAGGGCCTGGCTTCTTATGTTCAAGCTTGCTTTGCGATTCGTTCTTCGGTGTATAAGTACTTTTCGACAGATGCTGCAACCTCACCGGCTGCAGACGATAATACGATGCCCGGGACCCGCCATGGCCTGCGTTTCTTAGCTTGTCAGTGACAATACTGGTTAGCGTTACAAAACTTCAATTATACAAAACCACCCAGAAGACAAGGCATGACGTCATCGTTAGTGGATCCCTGCCCCGCCCCAAACGGCAAACACGCCGAAGCTCGACGCCGAGAAAGCGGCAGACGCGTCCGTGTTTGCGTCACCGCGTTCTAGCGTCGCGTTCTATGTGAGACGCTGAAAGCCGCGTTGGCGGCGACGCTGACGCAAGCTAGGCGGCGCTGAGCCCCAATAGTAATACCGTTTGGGGGGAGGGGAGGCGCGAGCGGTGACAGCTTAAGATTTCAGGACGAGGGAAGGGAAGACTAGAAAGGAGGAAGCAGGCGGAATGGCGGAGAAAGGGGGATGTTTCCTCTCCACTCCTGCAATCTATTCGTTTCCTCCTTCCCAGCCAGTGTTGCCGAATCGCGAGAAATGTCTCGCAAACAGAACTCCAGGGGAGAACGGGGAACTAAACTCGAACACATGTAAAATAAGAGACGTTTTTATTTTTAAAAATTCATATTTTACGCGCGTTCAAATTAAGTTTATTTTTACCCCTTGGCGTTAGGCTTTCCACACAAGGCTAGAAATATTGCATGGTTCTGCAACACTGTCCCCAGCCTTCCTTCCCCTTGCCCTGAACTCTTACCCTTTTTCGTCTGGTCTGCTCCTTGAGCAGAAGTTGCGGTGACGTCAGAATGCCGAGCTCTGAATGGCCCCTATTGGAAGGATAGTGGGTAGACCACAAGGCAACTAGCATTGCGCTCTACCCACTATCCCTCCCTGAGAGCCAATGGAAGCTCGGCATTCTGACGTCAGTTCCATCCCGGCACAAGGAGCAGACAAACTTCCGCTCCGCATTGGCTCATATCGGTAACGTCGCAACGGGGGTCTGGGTACTCACAGAACGCTCAGCTTGGGCATGCCCCGCAGGACCCCCGGTGGCACGTTCTGGAGAAGGATGGACTTTTGGATCGAACTGCAACAGCGTGGGCAGCGCTTAGCTCTCATCCCGGCGAGCGGGGCTGATCGCCATACAAAAAGAAGCCGATATATTTTTTTTTCTTTTGCTACGTGTTTTTTTTTTGCACTTACATTTCGCGCAGTTCTTGGAGGCTGTCGAAGACGCCCGGCTCGATCGTTCGTAATCTCAGCAGGGAGTTGAGGTGCCTACAAAGCAAAACGCAATTGGTTTAGTCCCAGGCAGCGTCTGACGTCACCAGTGACTGCTCTACTGTATGTGCTTTGTTTAGGCTTATTTTCGGGAGTTCTGCCATCTTTTTTTCTTTAGCACAAAGTGTATACAATGGGAAAAGTTCGCGATGACGTAGCATGGAGTATAATGGTCCACAGTTTCGTAAGGGGCGAGGAACTTCTAGAGACGAAGCATGGTAAAGAATTCTCGCGACCGCATTGCTTGCGTGAACGAAACACTATACTGTCGTTGATTTTATAGCGTTTCCTAAAAGAAAGTCTCAACAAAATATATAAACCCATTGTGCTATAATTTCTTAAAATGGCGAGCTCGGATCAGCTTGGTAGGATATAGAGACGAACACGCAATTAAAAAAGCCGTGATTTTTCGCGCTCTATTCGTAGCTTGTGGAAGTAAAATTGGCATTCCTTGAGCGTTGAAAACAACCAAGTTAGATGTAGAATCATAATTACTCTCGGCCAAAACTGAAAAGCAAAAAAACAACACAACTTCTCAAAAGTGGTGACCGACTTTCAAAGGCATATGTCAGTGGATCTCTTCATAATCTTAGTTTAAACAGCGTAACGCCAGAGAGAAGCGCTCTCAGCGAAATGCTATGTCTTTAGTCCAAGACAGCGAGTGGCGTCAGTGATCGCCCTGCCTTTCGTTTTGTTCCCACTTACTTTACAAAGTTCCGTTCTTTTTGTGTGTGTTTTTTTAATACACGCAGGGCGAGGGAAGAGGCTTGCACTAGGAAAACATGAAAAAGGGCGGTATACACCAATGGGAGCTGCGTAGGTTTTCTCGAGACATCACAAACAAACGAAATCGTTGCTACATTGCCCTGGAAAAGAAAACACCTCTGCTGTTGCTTTCCAAGCGTTTGTTGAACGCATACCCAGAGGACGAAAAAATGTGGTGCTCTTTTGAATTGTGATCTCGGTCCAGCTTGGTAGGGCATAGCGAAGAATATGAAGTGAAAAGAGCTGTTGTTTTCGCGTTTTATTTGTAGTATTTGTCGCAAACATTATTTAGTCGTTTCGTGGCAGCCGAAGGTGACTGAGATAAACATTAAAAAAACACATTTGTTTACTCTTTAAGAGAACAAAACTACAGTAAAAGCCCATTATAGTGAAGTCAGGTTCAAAAAGACATATTTTCTATATCAGTATGTTCACTATAGAAGATCAAGAAATGCCTACTGGTGCAAGCACTTTAACTTTGTTCGGTATATCCATATCTTCGCTAGCTAGGTATGCCAGTTTTACTTAATCAGTCAGGGGTGATCGGTGGCCGAGTGGGCGAAAGCGCACACCCAGCTTGACGCGCGTGGAGCGAAAGCTCGCGCTACAGAACCCAGGGATCATGGGTTGAATCCCCACCCCTGCCCGTTTCGATATTGAAGAGCATTGTACCGGCGTGCGGTCGTGTATCACTATTGCGTGGTGCACGCTCATTTCAATTCAATTCAATTTTTATTCAAAATTTAAAATAAACACGGATCACACTGCAGAAACCATCTGGATCCGTAGCCTATTTGGCTAATCTTGGCTCCATTCCAAATGTACAAAAATGAATATTGCGGCGGTTACCCACCCATGCATGTGCCGCACAAACATGTTTGTCACTGAAACATTATTTCCAAATAAAATGTTTTAAGGGTACTTTTGAACGTTTTGCTTTCTTTTATTGGGATGCATAAGGAATTCCATATTTTTGTTTCGGTATACTGTATCATTCTTTGACTATACACATTACGAGACAATGGAATGTTAAAATTGTTCGCGAAAACATTACTAGAGACTCTTTCCGATTGTGAGAAAATGCTTGATGGTAGGTGGTGTATTTGTTGTCAAAATATTATGCATCATAACCACAGCTTTGTAATCTCGTACCTCGGCTAAGTATTATGCATCCTAACCACGGCTTTGTAATCTCGGCCAGCGGTTGTACTGCAGTGACTAAATTGCTCATCTTCCGCTGAAAGACAAGTCGCCCGTTGAGGCAGGCTAAGTTTAGGCTGTATAAACCTACCCACAACTCAATGTTTTTTTTCTATAACCTCCATAAGCTATTTCCTATAGAAACTTTATAGAAAGTGGATAAATATTTTGTAAGGGCTGCTGTGTTCGCAAAGAACGTTTTTTGCGAATCACCTGGTTTACGGGGGAAAGAAAGGAGAGGGGGACGGTGAGGCGGGTCTTATAGTTGAACACACCTGAATGAATCACGCGCTAGCTTTTAGCGGCTTCCTGATTTGATTGGGCAGCACAAAACGAGTTTCCACATAATGGCCCGGTGTCCACGACACATGTGTCCATATACGCTTCTATAAAACGTTTTTTACGAAACGTGTTTTCGACGAAACGATACGGGTCCCTGTGAGAGATGGCCTGGCTGCGCCTCGCAACCCCGGCTTCTTTTTATCTACATTTTACGGGAGGCGGAGGGAAAGGGGGGGGGGGGGGGGGGGGAGGCGTATTTGAAAAGGAACGTTAAAAGAAGGTAAATGCCTGCGCGCACTGTTTTATCCACCCTAATATAGTCCAATTCCCGAGTGAGCATCATAGTCTAAACTTGTAGAAAAAAAAAAAAAGAAGTAAAATAACGACTACGCGATCGGGTTTAGATTATAATATTTCCTAATTAGCTCCCCTGCATACTTCCGCTTCTTAAAAAAAAAAAAATAAATAAAATAAACGAGCAGTATGCGCCGTTGTAAGCGCGGGGCTCCACCGGCACTTGTGGTTCATTAGTGTAGAGCGGGGACAAAGGCCAACAGCCCGGTTGCCCGTATCTAATGCCCGGCCCTGCACAGTGGGAGTACCCAGACGCTTCCGAAATATTAAAAGAACATTAAACGCCCATTGCCTTTTAATCGTGTTCTCTGAGGATGTAATCCTCTCGGAAGCTTATATAGGGTCCCCGGTCCTTTTCATCATGATGTACGTACCTGTGGCGTGTTGGTTTGAAGGAGCTCAACTGTTAAAGCTGCTTCTACCTTCAAAAGTTTTTTTTTTATGTTGCCTTATAGACTGACTGAAAAATTGAAACTCTAACCAAGTTTACATTGAAATGTTGCCCAGTATATATATATATATATATATATATATATATATATATATATATATATATATAATGTCTTTGATTTCTTTTTATTGCATCTGTATGGAACATAAGGCTCACGGACTGTTAGACTGTTAAGCTGGGGCTCGTGTAGGGCGAAGAACCGCTGTAATGTTGTTATTGAATGCTTAAAATGCGCGTAGAAACAGAGTGTCTGGATCGGTGTCATGAAAAAGTCAACCGACTCAGTGGCTCTCCGAGTTGATACGTACTGTCTTTCGGGGCTGTAGCTTTCAACATAGGCTTTATTACTCCTGTGATAACCTTAAAGAAAACAAAACAAAATCTTTTGGTTCGTAATATACTTTGAAATCTCAAAGGAGATATAGTGCTCATTTGTTTGGCTGTCGATGTTAACAGTTTTCTTGTTCTTAAAAAAAAGGACAAACAAATAAAAAACAAACGCAGAACACCACTTTATTGACTCATGGAATCGCTCGTGAAAGACAAACGCGTGCGCTAACGTTATCAGAAAAATGCCGCATTGACTATTGTCTTGACTTGACTATAGTCATGACTTGGCTATAGTCACCGGTAGCTTAAGAAACGCAGGGCATGGCGAGTTACGAGGATCTGATGTACCCCCAATCAGATTGCAACATGAGTCGATAAGAACACCGAAGAACCAATGACGAAGTAAAGTGTGGCAAAATAATGAGCCCCACCGCGCGTTCCTTATGCCGTCGGTGACTCTAACCACGAAACCGCATAGCTCTATCTAGATGCTCCATTTTCTATAGTGTTTGGTTAGAGCTCCCCACACGTCAATTTCGAGGACGTTTGGAGATTATTTCGTAGGCAATCGGAAAACTTTCCTTCTCTTTCTAGTCTCGAAATGACGCGACGCACACTGAGAAACGAATGCGACTTTCAGTCTCCAGATTATCTTTATGTACGTTTTAAAAAAGCTGTTTACAAATCCTAAAGCTCAAGCTTCAAGACATGCCCGTCGGTTCTAGATGAAACAAAATACGGCTCAAAGAATACCGAATACTAAGGGATTCTCGAACGCCACCAGAGCAGCACAACTTTGCGGGCAACTCTGTCCACGTTGCGATTCTCGCTGCAATTGAGGAGAATGTACTCAAATTACAGAAAGACAGAGAGAGAGAGAGAGAGAGAGGGAGGGAGAGAGAGGAGGAGGAAAGAGGAGAGTGGAGAGAGTAGAGAAAGAGATTTGTTTTCCGCCTCATAGCCCTCCAAGTCCCCGGAACCCTTAGACTCTCGAAGGTGGGAAGTCCATAAGGTGAGCGACCAGGCGCCCACGACGCTTTGGCTCCCTCGCCAGGCAGCTGCCGCCTCTGCCGGAGGAATGAGTGGGCTGGGGACAGCGTCCCGAGCGAACGGCCGGCTCGAATCTGCACTCCGCCCACGCTTCTCGGGGTTAGCACAGCCCGGAATGCCAACGAAATATTGCGGATCCGCGCCTCGACCCTGGGCCGATATTAAAGCAGGCGCGACGAAGGAAGGAGGGCGAGATGAAAGTTGATGGAGCCGTAACACCAACGTGACATCCCTGGAAAGCTTCCGGCCAGCGCGCTTTAAGCCCGCGGTTTGGAGTCACGCTTATCGGGCCGACGCATCTTTATCGCTGCGTGTACTCTGGGATTGGGGATTGTTTATAGAGGCCACTGGCTTTCGCCGCCCGGCGTGCACCCGCGGAATTTCCGAGGTCTCGGCACGTTCCTCTGGACCCTCGTGCACGGTATTGTCTTTGGATAGGACCCCCCTCATGTAGCGGGGCTAGCGTCTCGGTCGCTTGTGTTAGCTGAAGGTCACTGCGAGGAATGAGCGCGCGGCGCTAGAGAAAAACGCGGGAAAGGTGGTGCCGTCCTCATGTGTGTTGCATCATGTATATGCACTACACGGCGACACACTGTTAGCCTGGACACGACATCTACGAATAAAAATAAATAAATAAAAAAATCACATATTTGATGTGGAACAGTTATTTTAAATAAATAAGGTTAATTGAATTAAATCATTGTAGATCGAAAATAGTGATATCTTATCACAAGTTGTATTTTTAAACTTGGCAGATTAAATGAGCAATCCGTCCGATCACTGATAATAATGCGGAAAAAAGAATTACTCTAAATTTAGAATGCTTGAATTAAGGACATTTTATTGATGTAATCCTGCATTATTAGAACAAGAACAGCTTGAGTTTTTAGTTCGTTAAATGCTCTATTCAATTGCTCTCTCTTTCGTGTTCTGATTTGCTTGCAAAATGGACATTATTTTTTAGTTGTCGTTTCTTTCACGTTCTGCTTTCCGTAACTAACGAACGCAATCGAAGGTCGAAAGAAAGCTTAACGCTCGGATTGCTCAAAAGAGCACGGCGTTTTGCTCGTGTTCAACTTGATACAAGTATTTCCTCCTTGGTGATGATTTGATTCGATTATAAGAAAATACGCAAGAAATAAAGCATGAAATGGTTGATAATTGGTCAATAAAAAATACTGTTGGGATTATTTCTGCGGGAAAGGTTTTTTGACTTAAACCATCGCAGTAAAACGGGTCCGATTTAAATCTCGATCTAAATCATGATTGAAATCACGTTTTATATAATCTTGATTTTCATTCTCTAGCCTGCGGCATCGTCGTTTTTCATCATTTTACACAGACGAAGTATCGATAAGCACCGAACTTTAGCGCTTAGTTTATTGCTCTGAATGAGGACTGTGCACTAAATTAGTTTTTTTTTTTGTGACAGTTGTTTAGTTTTAGGATACAAACTAAAAACTGGTGATCTTTTGTTCGCACTAAGAGTGTCGCGCTGTGCACACAAACGTAACTTTTGGCAAGCTTGCAATATTTCGCCTCCTTGTCTACAAGAGCCGAGGCGTGGACGCGGCCAGAGCACCCTGCTTACAACTGCGTATCGGATGAGCATCCTATCGGCATGCGATCGTGTAATCAGTAATGCGTGATGCAACTTGAAAACCCCTGATTAGCGGCGCTCTGTAACGTCTAAATTGCACGTCTCCAGTGTCGACTGTTTATCGTCATTCTCAAGTTCAAAGCGTTACCTATCGTCACATAGACTTTCACAACGTCCATTGCCCTTTTTTTTACAAAGTTTACAAGCGTGAGCGGCTTTAGCAGCGCGAGAGTTCGCGTAGCCGGGGCATATTTTAAAGCAAGGGTCCCGCGCTTGTAGTGTTCTTTGTGGCTTATGGTAAATAAACATTAAAAACAATTAAGAAATTTGTAATTAACGTGCTTTCTAATTGATGCGTTTTCTAGGAGTCGAGAGTAGCTCCTTTATATTGTACGTGACGAGTGTTTGTGCTCGAAAAAGGTTTAAAAAAACAGTACCAAATTAAACACAACATGCGCATCGATCTCTTCATAACTGATCGAAAGTCTGTTGTGGAACTTTTACTGACAGGAGAAAGTATGACCACACCGACCACATACGTGCTGCCACAGCGGCTCTGTGCGTGGCCAAACCACTTGAGCTCTCATTTTCTTTATCTCCACTAATTTTGACTGCGTCACCACGGCATTTTTCATCATCTTTCCGTTGTGAGGGGGGTCAGCGTCGCTAATATACTCATGGAGCCTGTCTCGTTAGTTTCTGAGGGTATGAACTCTCACACACGTTGTATCTATCCTTGCACCTTGAAAGCGGCCACCATTGTATTTATGAGAGAGTGTCAGGTGAATGGGAGGATACGTGTTGTTTTTGTTGTTTTGTTGTTTTTTAGACGAAAATTTGCTTCCCAGCCTGGGACACTTAGCTCATGATGCGTGTTCATAGCTGTTACAACTGAAAGGTCTATAAGTAGGGCGTATAGCTTTTCTGGGTTGCCAAGATGAAATGGGTACTAGAGGTCGCGTGCCTTCTTTCTTTTGTTGAGTCTTTGCAAGTCAAGAGGTTCGGTTCGGCGCGCACGAGTCCGGTATAACTTGGTAAGGCCCTTGACGATAGGGCTGTGACCAGATTGACTTTTCCGTTGTTTGAGATCCATTTCAAATCCCCCGGTCCTTGGCAAACCTCTTCCGCCAGCTGCTGCGAAGTTTAGAGTATGAGACCAACTTACAGGGCTCTCAGGCTGGCGGCGTAGGTGTCGAGTGACCCATTCCGTAAGACCTCGAGGGATATCCTCTCAAAGGATCTGGAACGAGTCAAACAGAAAGGATTCGTTAGACGTCATGCACTCCGCAGACAAAACTGAACACATAAAGTCGTTGAGAAAAAAAAAAAAAAAAAGAGAAGAATTTACTCTTGGAAGGTTTTCAATCAAAACATCGCCTTTTCGAAAATCCATCGCATAAAAAAGGTGAAGGGAAGAGTGGGACATCGGCTCCAAAGTGAAGAAAAAAATCATAAGAGGGAAAACAAATGTTCAAAGGGCCGTGTCTACTTTCACTGAGCAAAGCTAAACAAAGAAGAAGAAAAAAATCAGAACCGTACGTTTGCCTTTTATTCTCGGTTCACCGCTAGGCTGACAGGGCGGTGAAAGCCACGAGCTTGTTCGACCACTCAACCGTCGGTCTGGTACCACGTGATCACGCTTTTTACGCGTACTCTCGGGCAAAGAGCGGGGTCAGACAATAAAAAGCGAGCGATGGATTGAACTGGCGAACACGCGGAGCTTCTATCGCCCTGTCAACTTAACGGAGAACGAAGTTAGAGTTGGCCGAATCGATTGGATGTGAAGTCAAACATTCCATCCAGAGCACAACATTTGCCATCTGCAAATATGTGTAGCGGGCAGATGTTCATTGATTGCGAAAAAAAAGTGCGTAATGGTCGGCAGCGTCTGTAATTGCGTTTTCTCGAGCAAGTTATCAGCGCTCAGAACTCGTATAAGAGGAACGACAAGACTGAAATCGCGCAGGGACCTCAAACAGAAAAACTTGTTATCTGAACTTCTGGCTAAAAACATTATCCGAGAATAACGTTAGTGGTTTGCGTAACGCAGTGCGGTCATGACGTCATTGCGTTGCTGTGGAGCTGCTGTCGGCTCAGCTCCGCGTGGATGCTGTGTGCAAAGTGTCGGAGAAATTGCATTAGAAGCATAGCGGGGCTTGGTGCGTCACGATGCCGTCTATAGGGCAAGATGTACTGAGTGATGCATAAAGAAAAAGCAACATAACTTTTCACAAATTTCCGGCGTATTCTGAGAAAAGTGATTGACCACTTTCAAAGAACAAATTGCCGTGCGTCTACCTTCCCTTTGAAAGTGGAAGACTAACAAATTATAGATTACAAATCGCTATCCAAAAGACAACCTCTGAGATTGCCATTCACTACACAGCTGTTGAAGATGAAAGCATGGCGCTGCCGAGGAAAAAAACATAGATAGAATTATCGGAGCATGCTGGTTAAACATCTTGGTATGCAAACGCAAAAGGAGACGTTTTTTTTGTTTTTTTTTGTGTCCCTGTCTCCTTTTGCGTTCGCATACCAAAAAGGGGAAAAAACAACAATCGAGCAATGAAGTTTGTCATATGGCACTGAGCGCATGAAAAGTTTTTCGTTCACTCTGTGCTCACTGATTAGCTCTCAGTGATCGCCAATCAATTTTTAACTTTCTAAGTGTCCTGCAAAAGAGGGGGGTACGGGAATTTTACAGAGCGATGGATAATCTTCCAGGTACGAAAGAAGTGAAACAGGCCGGGTTATTCATACTTTTGGTTGGAGTAGCATGAATGATTAGCGAATATCTCAACGTATAAAAATAATTTGGTGACAAAATATTACTATTTTTTTAAGGGCAGAAGAACAAGCTTCAAGCAGGATTGAGCTTAAGGATTGTTTAATGATTTGTGGTGATGACGTTCGAACGCCCCGTGATTGTCTTTCCCGTCAGGGTTCGTCTGGTCCTTTTACAACACAGCCTTCGTCATCGTAAAACCTTGATGTCATTGGAAAATCACCCTTGCGCCAGATGGCTTTCATCGTTTAAGGTGCCATGATTAGTTTAGTGGTAGCAACCCAGCTACTGCAACAATCTATTCCTGACGAGGAAGAAATCCCATAGACGTGCCTTCAGCTGACGTTCGAAAGCCGTGAAACAAGAACTTAAAGCGAGTTCTTGTTTCTTAGAGGTCTGCTCTGAAAGCAATATTGTTTATTTTATATGCTATAACTAACACTTCTAGCATCCTGACGTCTGCTGAACTCGTTGCACATGCAGGTGATATAAATAAATATTGCCTCGGTTTTTTGAACAACTCCAGTTAATACGTCAAAACGATCCTCATATCAAGGGAAGAAAAACACTATATTAAAATATGATTTCTTTTTATTTATTTATTTTGCTTTATTTTGAGTGCTGCACAAACAGCTCTAGGGTTTTTTAGTGGTGCACTGAAAAAAGATTATATAGACCAACACGCGGCCCTGACGTCACGCAGCTGCGGTGGCGCTGTCGGCGGCACTGCGCATGCGCAGCCGCTTCACTCCTCCCGAATTCGGTTTGTGTGCACGCGCAGTCCCCACACCTGGTGTGGGCAAACGCAGGCTTGTTTGGAAACAGCGTGTCGGTCTATACAATCCACAAAATAAAGGTCTACATATCAGGATAAAAGCACACATCACCGCACACTCGAAATGTTTCTTCGGGTCCAAAAATGTCAATGTCAAGGTTACCTGAGGTAGATTCAAAATTGTTGAAAACCAGTTGCAAACGAGTCATGGGATCAGTTTTGTACAAAGAATTGGATACAAATGATTTATATCCGACAACTATGTAAAAAGCATTTCGAAATTAAAACCGGCTATGGGAAATATGTTACGGAATATAAATATCAACACTTCTAAACTCTGCAGGATGCTTGATTAAGACCACCCTTTTCCATTTGCAAATTGAAATGCGATGTGCAATCACCCTAGTCGGCAATGAGCCACGACTTATTTATGTTTTTTTAAACCTTTTTTATTATCAATATTTGTAAAAAAAAGTAGTCTGCTAATTTAGATCATCGCAAGATTTTGTGCTCGTCGTCGAAAGATGTAAAAAAGAATAGAAAAAACGAAAAAAACTTTGTTTTGCATTTTGCGTAAATTCTTGTGATTTTATTGTTTTAGAAATGTAGCCTTTTCATTTTTTTTATTTTTTAGCTACGTGAAAGTTTAGGAAATATGTTAATGTTTACACATTTATATGTTTGCTGTAGCCAAGGGGGAGGGGGGTTAAAACTGTTGCCAGGAATTTTATCTCCACCATACAGGCTCCCGGAAAAACGACAATGAAAAATAAATTAATAAAATAAATTGATAGTTTAAGGTTTAGTTCGATAGTATAAATTAACACTTTATGAGACAGCTCAACTCCCACCCTCTACACTCTGAGAAATACCTGCGCGCCTGCTTAACCGGAAAACACTCGAAGAGTCAATCTCTGCGAACTACGAAATCAGCTCAGCGAATGATGAGGCAAAACATCCTTTCAGACCAAAAAACTAAGTCGGCGCTCTGGCATTACGGATTGGAATCATAACGCTTTGCATTGCGTAATGACACAGCGCAGGCTTCATTTTTAGGTATGAACGGATGTTCCGCCTCGTCATTCCCTGAGCTGATTTGCTAGATCGCAGAGATTGGCTATTCGAGTGTTTTGCGGGTAAGTAGACGCGCAGGCATTTTTTAGAGTGTAGGCGACTGGTGCGCAGTTAAGATAATAAACTCCGCCTGGTTCGGTTGATCTGCGTTTGTTTTCCTTCGTCATGGTCATGGAATATGGCAGTCTAGCTGACTGATTTGTATTCACAATGTTTACATCGTGGGTTCGCGCTGCGACTGCTGCTAGTAGGCTGCAAACCTGCATGGTCTTGAGGTACAATCCTTCGACTGTATCGGGGGTTGCTTACTAAGGACACAGTTGATGCTCAAACTTTTCTGGGCAGCATCAACGATGCAGCCAACTCTGGAAGAATAAAAAGTAAATACGCAATTTTCTATTCAAGCGGAGGGCAGTCAACCGCAACTGAATATATTCCGAGGCACTTTCCGCGTCACTAAATAAAACATCCCCTAGCCCGGCTCTGTATTTTTCCTTCATCCGGCGTCCCCGCGTCAGCCTCCCCATTTCATTCACTAAATTTGCATGAAAATTTGGGTTTTTGATTGCATCCACCAGAAAAATGTTTGATTCAAGTCCGCCTTTGTTTGTCTAAGCAGTCCACCTCTGAATGAAGAGTACACAGTGTCTGCGGTAGAATGCGCCCACAGAAGAGCCACATAAAAGAAGAAGAAAGAAGTCGTATATAGTATATTTATATATATTAGTTTGAGTTTGTTTATTTACCCCCAGCAATTCTGACGTGAAGTAGTATTAAGACTGAATATCTCCTTCCCTCTGTAAAGAGGATATCACGACTCCTAGCGGAGGGGAGAGAAATATATAGTTGGAAAGTACACTCTAAAAAAAGCCCGTGCGTCTGCTTTCCCGCACAACGCTCGGAGAGCCAATCAGCGCAACTTACGGAGGCAGCTCAGCGAATGACGATGCCGAAACATATGTTTAGAGCAAAAAACGCAGTCTGAGTTGTGGTATTAAGCAATGCAAAACGTCACGCTTGCATTGCTTAATGTCACAACTCAGTCTGCGTTTTTTGGTCTAAACAGATGTTTCAGCATCGTCATTCGCTGAGCTGCCTCCGTAAGTTGAGGTGATTGGCTCTCCGAGTGTTGTGCGGGAAAGCAGACGCACGGGCATTTTTTAGAGTGTGGGATAGAGAGTGATTTGCCGTGGAATCGTAAGCTGTGTCAAAATACATTACAGTAAAAATTAAAACTTTTTTTTTCATCGGAACAGAAAACGTATGTGAGCAGACGCACGTTTAAACTGTATCAAAATACAAGCAAACAGCGGACAGCTTACGTTGATGTCGAAACTAGGAGACGCCCAAACATAACCTCCGCTCATTTTAACAGGGTTACTGATGCATATGTTCTTTCTTTTTTTTATATTTTACGTGTAGAGACACGTTCCTTGCATGACCCTGCTTTACATTAAAGCGGCAGCGGACCAGGGGGTCCGAGGTAGTCCAACGTGAATGTTAACTTTAAAGCAAAAATAGCGAACTTTGCTAGGCCCTATTAATTTCCATGCGAATATTTTGACGATAGTGACCACAGGAGGGAATTGTTCAGTTCGGTCACGGCC